ATAAAAAACCACAATCAAACATAAAAAAAAAAAATCACTGTGCAGGATGGCTTGGGGGGGTCGGATAACTCCATATGGTCCAGCATTTCTCCAACGAAAATAGGGACATCCTAAGGGAAAGCGGGACATTTTGGGATCCAATCGGAAACCAGGAAGCTTTCTCTAAATCAAGGATGTCCCTGGAAAACAGGGACACTTGGAGGATCTGCAATAATTGGCACCATCATGATCTGCCCAATATTCTGGAGGTGTGTGTGAGAGAGACACACACACACACAGAGAGACAGAGACAGAGACAGAGACAGAGAGAGAGAGAGAGAGAGAGAGAGAGAGAGAGAGAGAGAGATTCTTATGTCACCTTAGGCCTTGCTGTGGCAAAAGGGTCAAAAATGGTTCCGTAGGGTTTTGTCTGGTGGACGGACAACGCCTGGTGAATCAGGCCTCTATGCGATGGCCTGCTATCTCTTGATCTTTATGAGGCTGCTTCAGATCAATAGTGCTTTATGACTGTGCTCACTTGTGTGGGGAGGGCCCTCTCTGCAGTGCTGTGAGGTCACTTTTCCAGTCTCTGTTAGTCATTTTCTGCGCTGAAAGGGATCAAAGCAACTTTATAGATTGACACAGCCAGTCAACAGCGATCCCACGTCCTTTATGTTTTAGATCTCAGGCAAAGCAAAACTAATTGTTTCAACCAGGGCAGATATGTGATCTTTCCTCTGAGTTACTTTCCATACACATACTCCTTCTTTCTTTAATTCTTCTCTAATGGAAATATTAATTATATTTCTGTACAATGGAATGAATACATTAATTAATTATTATTATTATTTTCCACAGTGCCTTGTCTTTTTTTTTTATAGAATGTGGGTGCACTGCAATTTTGTGTGTGTGTGCTTCTTGCATTACAAATGGAATGCATTATGCATGTATATACTTGCCTCTCCTTACAGCCAATATGACTCTCCTCCCCCCCCACCTCAGGGCACTGGGAAGTTTAGGGGGCCTTTCTAGGGTCTGTTTTCCTTGTGGAAAGAGAAGGAGCAACATGGTGTGCAAAAGTCCTTGCCTGCGGTGCCTCGATCCACACATGCCGGGCAGAGTGGTTAACGGAATAAGCTGCAGGCAGCCAGTCCTGATGAGTTCAGTCCTCAAAGTTTCTTTTTTAAGAAGCAGCAGATGATGGCAAAGACTTCTCTCTAAGACCCCCTAAAGAGCTGCTCCCACTCAGAGCAGGAAATACTGACCCAAAATGGACAAATAGTCTGACCTGGCATAACGCAAGATTCCGTAGAGTCCTGATGTGGTAGAACGGATTGTATGTATTTAGGCTGTAGGTGGAGATGGGTAGCTCAGCTGGTTAGAGCTCAAAACACCAAGGTTGGAAGTTTGATCCCCATATAGGACAGCTGTGTGCTCCTGCATTTCAGAGGGTTGGACAAGATGGTTCTCAGGACCCCTTCCAACTCTACAATTCTGTGATATCTCGGACTGCTCTCCTATGAAACACAACTCCCTGCAAGGGGAAAACAGGAAGGATAAGGAAACCTTGCTATTAATGGCTACTGGCCACAATGGATATGATCCATCTCTGCTGGTGGCTGGGGTGCTGTTGTGCTCATGGACAAGATGGGCCTTGGGCCTGATCCAGCAGGGTTGCAGGGAAAGCACTGTGCTGCCACCTTTTTCCTGAATTACTAGCATTCTTCGTGTCCTGAGCTTCCTAGGTGGAAGAGAGAGCTCAAAAGTTCTGAAGTGGCCGTGTCCCTTGTCTTCTACTACCTCTACCTCTGAGCTCAGATTGCCACATATTGTACTTCTAAGGTTAGGATGGTGAGTTCAAAGTTAGGGCTGAACTGAAAGGTCTTGTCTGAACTCCCCCAGACCTTGATGGTGTATCTTTCCCATGGGGAATGGGGACAGGTTTTACAAATTCTTGAGTTCCTAGCATGAAACTGGCCCCACTCCCTTGGGATTGGAAACATCATACCATTGCCCAATGATTTGTTTTTGGAACTTTGGAATAGAGGGAAGCAGTAGTGGATTATCGTGTACACAATGGATTTTTCATGTGTCTGATTGAAACACGTGGGGGGAAACCTTTGGTTGTCTGTAAGGGCAAATGAAGGGCTGATGTCTCGTCCCTGACTCTAGCCACCACCGATGGAATACTTGGGCCTGGAGTCATTTGTCAGATCTGACAACAGAAGCCAGCACAAGGACTTCTGCTAGAGCGAATGGGCCTTTCCCCCTTCTCCACCCCCTGCATGCCCCCCAAATCTGGGAGAAGCCCCAGAACAGTGCTCAAGTGGAGCAGAGGGGAGCTCGTTCCATTGGGCAAGCAGAAATGCATTCTGAATTCTGGCCCCAGACTGCACAGAGATGGTCTCAAGGAGCTCAGCTGAAACATCACATTGAACTAGAGTAGGGAATGTGGTGCCCACCAGATCTTGTAGACTACAAGTTCCATCATCCCCATGGTGATGAGGGATTATGGGAACTGTAGTCCACAACATCTGCATGACAGAATGTATGGCAAGTTGGACTAAGACTTACCTAGCCCTGTGTTCTGTTTAGAGCTGCTGGGTTCTCACAAGCAGAGCTTCCATTCCCAGTCTCTGGTATTCAAAAATATTCCGCTGCTTTACAGGCAGGTTCAATTTAGCTGTTATAGCCAACAGCCATCCATTGACATCTCTTTTATAAATTTCCCCAGAGATTCCAAAGACTGAAGACTGGCTACAGTGTGAAATTGGCAATGGACTCCTCTGAGCAGGGAGTTAGTTAGCCAGTTGGCTATGCATGTGTTAAATCACAACATGGCAGGGAGAGGAATCTCACATAAGCATAGGATCCCACTGGTTGGGAAAGAATGGTGTGTTCTGAGAAACAAATATGTGATTTGAGTATTGGGAGGGGGGGAGGGACAGTATTCTCAAAACAAGGAAGCACCTCTTAAGAGTTCAAGAGGCTTCACAATGAACCACACTGGCAATGACACATTTGTTGTGCTATAAATTTATTATCTTATGGCCTCCTTCCAAGTGGGTGATTTCCAAAATAAATCGCTGGGGTGGAGGGGGGAAACTCAGTCGGAGCCTTAAGGCAAGTCCAGGCAACATTTGACAATTCAATATGATACTCCAGACAAATCATATCCCAGTCACTACCTCTTACCATGGGTAGGCAAACTGTGGCCCGGGGGCCGGATCCGGCCCAATCGCCTTCTAAATCCGGCCCGAGGACAGTCTGGGAATCAGCTTGTTTTTACATGAGTAGAATTTGTCCTTTTATTTAAAATGCATCTCTGGGGTTTTTGTGGGGCATAGGGATTTGTTCATTTCCCCCCAAAAAATATAGTCTGGCCCCCCACAAGGTCTGAGGAACAGTGGACCGGCCCCCTGTTGAAAAAGTTTGCTGACCCCTATCTTGGACTTTGCTGAAGCATAGCCAGTGAGAGATCACCAGGGCATTTAAAACCTGAACACACTTTAGTAAAGGCCACATATTCTGGGTAGACCATTGAATTTACACCCTATTGTTCTGCCCTCATTAGAAGGTGTGAGTTTTGACAGGCTTGGTGATGATGTGCAACCCTCACCTTTTTCTTTTATTTCCTCATTCTTTCACTATTTGTTATCCTCCCCCTTGACTTTTTCCTCTTAACAAATCCACTACCCTTTCAGTAAAGTTTTTAGAAAGAAGTTGAAATTGACAACCTGATTGTCAATTACACTACTATTTTTTATTTTATTTTTTGGCCTGGAAACTACGAGGGGACTGCCAACACTTTATTATATATTAAAGTGTATGCAGTTATAAAGCTGAGACACTTAGGATGCTTTTGAGGGGGGAAATGGAATTACCAACACTTTCCCCACTTTCACCTCTAAATCAAGATCTCCTACAGTTTCTTTCTTTCCTTTTCATTTTTGTAAAAATGAGGTGAAATTGACAAACACCTTCAAAAGTTTCTCTTTTCGACTTCTATGAAAACGGCAGCATTAGCAGGGGAGATCTAACTTGGAAAGGGGTGCAGAGAAGTCCCCTCAGCCTATAGCAGCAGCTGGCAGGAACTCTAGTTAAAAGGAGAGAATGACTTTCCCCTTCCCAGGAGCAGCTGCAGAGGGGGTAGGGGGTGATTTTCTTTTTTAAAAAATAGGAAAGGGATGGGGGGTTTCTTTTGCAGGAGAGGAGTTTTCCCCCTGCTTAACTAACCCTCCTAAAGAAAGCAATCTATTGTGTACAGAGGCCAGACTGGCAATTAGCAGTGAATCAGGTTAGCACTTGTATAGCATTAGCAAAAAATAATGATAGCTCTGTGTGCGTGTGTGTGTGTGTGTGTGTGTGTGTGAGAGAGAGAGAGAGAGAGAGAGCGCGGAGGCACCCTTACATACCCTCCAACATTTCTCCGATGAAAATAGGGACGTCCCATTCCATAATGATAATTTTTACTATTTATACCCCACACATCTTACTGGGTTGCCCCAGCCACTCTGGGCAGCTTCCAATATATATAAAAACATAATAAAACATTAAACCTTAAAAAAAAACTTTCCCTATACAGGATTGCTCTCAGATGGCTCAGGGGTCAGATAACTCCATACCCTCCAGCATTTCTCCAATGAAAATAGGGACATCCTAAGGAAAAGTGGGACATTTTGGAATGAATTCAGAAACCAGGACGGCTTCTCTAAATCAGGGACGTCCCTGGAAAATAGGGACACTCAGAGGGTCTGCCCTTAATCCCCTAGCAATGGAGGTGAATAAACTTTCAAAGTAGAGGAACCCGTGTAAGTAACTCTGATTCAGTATGGCTTTTCTTACTGGGAGGTTAAAAATGCAATGTAAATGCATGCCAGAATGTGAAAAAGACTGTGGGACTTCTGGACATGTGCAAAGTGTGCTGCCTTCATCAGCAAACAGCAGCGGTCAGCCCCAATGGTTCTGGGATGAGTAGCAGTCTTTCTTCATTATAGAGCTGGAAGGCCTCACAAGGAATCTTTTGCCCAATGTGGGGCTCGAACCCTGAGAATATGAGTCTCATGTTCTACCGACTGACCTATCCAGTGAGTGCAGAAAGTTTGTTTTTTTAACCAGACTCGAGAAACACAACGCAAGTGCTGGACTCAACACATTCCGGCCCAAAGTTGCAGTTCAGATGGGGGCTTCAGATGGAAAGAATTGCACCTCAAATTGCCTTCCCTTATGCGCAGTCCATCCTGCAATCAGGTAGATGCAAGGAAAGGTGGCATGCACAGAAATAGTAAATAACATCCACTCCCATCATCACCATAATAACCCATTCCCAGCAACAAATTATCCTTGGCTGTGTTTCTGAAGGAGGCTGAGAAGAAAAAGCACTCGAGGGCAAGGATCAGAGGACCTGTCAGTCTCCTAGAGTTATTTTTGCTTTTGCTCTTTATGGAGATAATCAGAAAACTAAACATGCTGTATTTAGGTTAGTGAAAATTGCCACACACACACACACACACACACACACACACCCCACATCTGGCTAATTAAAAGCAAAGCAACTTGTATCAGCATGATAATGTTTTCTGATTGGTAGGACTGCACACTTTGAAAAGCAATGCTTGAACAGCGGCTGTGTTAGCTTTCATAATTAGGGCACGCTATTTGCATAAGTACACTTCCAACCATTTTCTTTCCCCTCCATGCATTTCACAAATAATGTATAATGTATAATGCTGAAACCCATTTAGCAACACAAAGCACCACACAAACAGGCCATCCTGCTATTTCCAAGGTGGGCTGAAAGTTGGCCACTTCATACTGAGAAGAGGGGTTCCATTCTTTTGGCATTCGCTTCCAGTTAAGGTCAGACAGGCCCCCGCTCCCTGTTGAATTTCCATCACCTCCTAAAGACTTTTAATGTTATTATTCCAGCAGGCATTTTAATAAGTCTAGTTTTATAGTTCAGACTGATTTCTCCCCCCCCATACTATGTATTAGGTATTTGAACAATTTATATACCACATCTTAATTTATATACCGCTTAACTACAATAGTCCCTAAGTAGCTTATACACTGCTTAGAGACTATGTAGTTAAGCCTATGGTTACCAGATTTTTTTCAGTGAATCCGGGGACACTTTTTTTTTTTTTTTTTTGGAAGCTGAGTAGCAACAGGGAGTTAGTAGTGGGGATGGTGAGGCAAAAGACCCTAGGCCCAAGTATACATGCATATTGTATAAGGTGCAAAGCCCTTCTTTCGCACCCTGTGAAACATAAATGCAGAGTTTATAAAAAACTGGGCAACGGCCGCCTGCCCGTGGCTCCTGAGCCTCCCCAGATCAGTCAAAACAAAGGGGGAAGGGGGCAGGAGATCGCACAAGACACATCATATGGGGACTTCTGGTGAGGAAAAATGGCGGGCGCCACGGCAGCGAGCAGCTCCTGAAGCCAGCCAGAGCCAACTGCGCTACCAGGCTGGCTCCAGACTGCTGAGGCTGCCGCTGCCACGCTTCCCAGGGACAGATTTGCAAATCTGGGGACATTTCGGGGACGGAATTTGTCCGGGGACATATTTGCAAATCCGGGGACTGTCCCCAGGAACCTGGGACATCTGGTAACCCTAGTTAAGCCAGTCTAGCTAGGGAGGGAGTTCCAAAATCTGGGAGCAGCCACCAAGGAGGCCCTCTTCGGCGTGCCTGTGAGTGTGGTGGGACTGAAAGAAGGACCTCCCCCCAAAATCTCAGAGACCGGGCAGATTTGTGTGGGTGAATATGCTCCTTCAGACTGCAATGAACTCATACCTTCAGGCATAGTTCATGTGGCGACTTACACATTGCCAAACAAAATGCACCCTCAAAAAAGGAGGACATTTGTGTATGTTCATTTACCATTAATGTGGTCATGCAAATTTAAAAAAGATTTATTATGCAGAAATACAATTCACCTCACCATAGCAGGGAAGACAGTGGTCTGGTGACCTGTCGGCCTGCTTAGCACCGTCCAGGAGCTGTCAGTTGTTGATGGGCGACTTCAAGGCCCCTTATGATCTGGACATGGACCAGACAGTTCTTCAAACAGAGGACTCCTCCAAACAGAGGACTATCTTCTGGCAGCCCTCCAGATAGAAGGCTGCCATTTGTAAAGGAGGGCACATGGGTGTGGTAGACATGGCTCATCAACAGTGAAGTATTGTTAACTGTTGTTCTACAATGTGTGGCTCTAATGCTTATTGCAATATTGTGATGGGGGGAAAGGCATACCTGGTGGAACTTTGTCTTTGTCGTCGTCTTCTTCTTCTTCTTCTTCTTCTTCTTCTTCTTCTTCTTCTTCTTTCTTCTTTCTTCTTTGGCGATCACTCGTAGCCGAGTAAGATTGTCTTCCATAAACACGGTTTTAACAATGAGTCCGTAAGTGACAGTGGAGGCCAGTTCTGGATCCACACATCCTTCCACAGTGGGAACATTGGTTTCCGGGCAGGAGTTGATCACGGTGTGGATTTGCTAAGCGTGCCTTCCTCCTAGCGCATTTCTCCCTTGCGTCCTGAGTTCGGGTGTCTCTGAAAGGGTCAAGGTCTCTACAAACACCACAACCTCTTTGGAAACATTTGCAAAGTACATTTGCAAAAAAAGAAAAGCAGCCTTTCTTCTTGCACTCAGCTAATTTCCTCACGTTTCCCTCAGCTCAGCTCAGCTCAGCGCTAGGGAATGGATAATTCTAAACTGGAATGCATTGAAATGAGCTAACAGATATAAATGATCAGAGACTGGAATTTGACTTCTTGTGGAAAGTAAGCAACTCATTCCCTCCTTTCGGAGGGGAAAATGATCTGCTTTCAAGTTCTTTCTTCTTTTTAATAAATGCAGATGTGGTAAATAAATAGTAACATTTTAAAGTTTGCAGTTGCTTTCTTAATGCTGTTGCTAGCGGCCAACATTACAAGGACCAAATGAGACAGCTTGAGAGGTTAACCACCAGACCCCTGCTGCCTGCAGCTTAGCATTGTCTATCTCTTTCTTTCTTTCTTTCTCTAAGTGATAAGTCTCCAGTGCTGCGTAAAAGCAGAAGTTCAATAGGTCAGCTTACCCGCAGCATGAGAGCACAATGGTTAAGCAAAAGCTTCACCTGTTGAATTTCTACCCGTCATGGGGCACAGGAGCCCTTCAAGGAGAGAAAAAAAAGTTAGAAACCATACAGGGCAGAGTTAGACTATTAACAGCTCACAATCTAATCTGAGGGAAGAGGTGTGTGTTTGGCAACACTTTTCGGAGATAACCAAGAGGAAGCTTAATTGCACTTCTGAGGGGAATGAATTTGAAAAATGTGGGCCTGCTACCAAGAAATCTCTAAGCTGTAGAGAACTCTCTTGTAGCTCAAGCACTGACTGCACTGTGACTCAGGATGTGCATTTGAACAACAGCTCTGACCACAGATTCCCCATACTCTCAAAGGCCAGTAACTATAAATCTACTCAAAAGGCATGAGCAAGCATTTTGCGCATCTTGCTGGAACCTTAAGCGGACAGCACACTCATCAACCTATCCCCTCATATGAATAAAATCAGCAGTTTGTGCAATATAAAATAAAATTATGTCTTAAAATACATGTCAGATGCACATATTTAGGTAAGCTTGCTTAAAGAAATGAAGAAACAATACAGCAAAAGCACATCCTCCCTCACATCCATGGGGCAGGGATCATGCAGTTCCTCTCTCCACCTACAGGGGACTCATGTTCTACACAGAATGTGTGTGGCAATACTCTGAGCTAGAAAGGAAGTGGTTGTCTGAATTCTACTCTGTCGCTAGTCTTAATACACTTCCAAAAATCACAAGATTCAGTTGTGCTCACAACCTCTCCTGATCTAAATGTCGAACTGTTCTGGATTGTTTATGGTTTGCTGCTCTGGAGGAAAGCTACTTAAGCAAGCTGCTCTGTGTTCATCGAAGGAGGGATGTTTTCAGAATAATATGTCAAAATTGGCCCTCAAGGGCCTTCAATCAAACAGCATTTTATCAGTGGAGAAGAAGAAGGGAGGTCGTGCTTGCTGATACAAAGAGGGGCAAGTTAGGAGCAGGATGAAAACCTTGAGTCAGTGTGGTGTAGTGGTTAAGGGCGATAGACTCGTAATCTGGTGAACCAGGTTCGCGTCTCCGCTCCTCCACATGCAGCTGCTGGGTGACCTTGGGCTAGTCACACTTCTTTGAAATCTCTCAGCCCCACTCACCTCACAGAGTGTTTGTTGTGGGGGAAGAAGGGAAAGGAGAAGGTTAGCCGCTTTGAGACTCCCTAGGGTAGTGATAAAGCGGGATATCAAATCCAAACTCTTCTTCTTCTTCTTCTTGAGTATGATTTCATTTCAAATTCATGCTGAGGAAGATATGATGGGTATTACTAAGAGTATATATTGATTATAACGGATCCTCTACAGACCCATGTGTGGGAGTTAACACAAATGAAAAATGCCTTGTGCCTGTTTTTAAAATATAGGGCTTGCACATAAGGAGCCCTAGTAGCAGAGTTTAAATCCCATCATTTTAGATTTAATGACACATAGGAATATGTTTTTAAATCTTTTAAATATGTTCCTGCTCCTTAAGGCAGCTGTCCCTGTTTCCCCCTTTTTCAATAAAACAGACCACAGATTGCAAGGTAAGTTTAAAATGGTTTACTTACAGTTACTAGGTCTCAGATTTGCATCTTCCTTCATAGTAAGTGTAAATATCCTCACTTGCAAAATATACAGCAAGGCAGGCTCAGATACATATCTAAGGCAGAGAGCTATATTAAGGCGCATTTGTCTCCATCTCAAATAGCATGGGGGCGGGGAAGGAACAGGAAACGGAAATAAGCCTTACTTCCTCCCTCCTTGGAGAAGAGGGGATGTGACATCACAGAGTTTACTCTAGTAATTCAGAACTCTGTCTTCCTTAACCTCTTCACATACTAAGTAGCATTGTTAAGTCTGACTGCAACTCTCCCACAAAAAGATTCATACTGAGCTGTTTCGTAGCTAATCTTAGCTGACTGTCCTTTTCTATGATGCCTTGTTTCCTATTGCTAGGGTGGAGGGGGGAACAGTAACTCTGCTTTAT